GGGGCGTGACGGCGGGGTGGGGGGGGTCCGTGAACCCCGGTGAGGGCGCCGCTGACCTCCGCGGCTCGCTGCAGGGCGGCCCCGGCTCCCTGCGCTCGGCCATGGCCCCCCCGCTTCCGTGCAGGCTCCCGAGGTCGCTGCCGCCGTGGCTGCTGCTGCTGAGCGTGGCGCTGCTGAGTTTCCAGGCCCGCGCCGAGCCCACCGCCGGGAGCGCCGTCCCCGCGCAAAGTACGTGCGTTGTGGAGGGGTCCCCACGGGGCTCTGACGCCACCCGGGCGTGCGAGAGCACGGTTCCTCCCCATTGTTCCCAACACCTACCTCGCGCCCCTTCCGCGGTCGGGCTCCCGGCCGCCCTTTCGGTGGGAGGTGCTGGGGCGGGGGGTACTGGACCAGGATGACGTTCCCTCCGCGCTGATGCGCACTCCCGCAGGCCGTCCGTGCGTGGACTGCCACGCGTTCGAGTTCATGCAGCGCGCCCTGCAGGACCTTCGGAAGACGGCCTACAGCCTGGACTCGAGGGTGAGCTCCTCTGGCCGGGAGGCAGGGGTGTGGGGGGGCGGGGCAAGGACCCAACCTGTGGCACAGCCGGTGATCCTCCTGCTCTCATCTGGCTCCAGTGTTCTGAGGGGCATTGTGGGCGCAGGTCTCACCCATGAGCGTTTCCAGACCCGGTGAGGGAGGTGCCCCCTTCCCCAAGGCCTCATTGGGCTTTTTCCCTGTGAGCCACACCCAGGACCTGAGGAAGAAGAGCCAGTCTCAATTCAGCACCCCGCCCCCCACGGGGCAATGAGGTCCAGCGGGCAGGGGAAAGAGGAGTCACTTTCCCTGGGTCAGAAACGGGTGTGGGGGGAGGGTTGGGCGAGAAAGGGCAGCTTGGGCAGGGCGGTCTGGGAGGCTCCACACCCCCCAGCCTCACCTGGGGAGGGATGGGTGTTATGCATAGGGTGCTAGGTGCAGGGTCAACCCCCAAGTCTGGGAGGAACACTGAGCCCTCCCACCCTCTCCCGCGTCCTCACTGTGCCTCAGCCAAGGGAGTTTTCACTTAGGACAGAGTTTGGGAATGGGGGAGAATCTCCAGAAGTGGAAAGAAGGGGAGACCCCACCCTGGTCCCCTTTTCTGGCCAGCTCCGCAGGGCCCAGATGGAGGCCTAGAGTGCCTCCAGGATCTGAATCTCACTGAGTCTGGGGCTGGGCTCCTGAGAAGAGCAGCCCCAGCCCAACTGGGGATGGCGTTGGGGGGGACCCTGAGAGGCAGCATACAGGTTGAAGTCGTCCAGGCCTGGGATGAGCGTGTGCAGGGTCCCGGACAGGACAGCTGTGCTGGCAGAAACCGCCGAGGGTCTAGAGGAAGAGCGTGGGAAGGCGTGGAGGCCCACAGGGTAGCAGAGGGTCTGACAATCGGTGTGTTGGGGGCTCCGAGGTTTCAGGAGCAGGCAGAGAGGATACTGCTGGGAGCACCCGGAGATGGCGTGCCCTCGGGCGCTGGTGGGTGGAGCGCTGGCGCGGCGCCCTGCCCTCACTGCCCCTTGTTGCTTTGCAGACGGAGACCCTCCTGCTGCAGGCCGAGCGCCGGGCCCTGTGTGCCTGCTGGCCTGCCGGGCGCTGAGGATCCTCAGACACTGCTGTTCCTCATCAATAAACACCCGGCCCAGCACACTGTGTCCTGTCTCCCTGTTCTGGCCACCAGAGCCCACCGGCGTCGCCCCCAGTGGTCCCTGGTGTGGGACTTAGTTTCCCCAGCAGTTCCATGTGGGCCACACCAGGGCCTGTGCTGAGCAGATACGCACGTCTAGCCCCACAGCACTTCGTGGCCGCTGCAAGTCAGCCTTCAGACACCTCACTTGCCTGTCTGCCTGCCCTCTGAGGCCAGGGGAGTGTAGAAGCTGGCCTCGTCCCCAGAACAACTGTCCCTGTGCCGAGCCCCCCGGGGATCCTCTGCACTGCGTTGGGGATGGCTGTCCTGGGAGCTCCCTGCAGGCCCCCCCAGTGGGCCCCCTCATAGCCTAGCCCGCGCACGGTAGCTGCCGGGACAGGCAGGAGGAGCCGGCAGCCAGAGAAGGCTCTTCCCGGCCCGGGGAGGACTGGCATGGTCTGCACAGCCTAAGCCTGCCGGCCCCTCCTCCAGCCCCAGCCCAGCCCCTGGGCACCAGGGAATAAGAATCTGGGTCTGAATACAAGTGTTGTGCCTGTGGGTAACAGGCCCTTACTCATCCACAGGTGTGTGCACAGCGCCAGGCAGGAGCCCTCCAGGGGAAGCAGGTGACCCTCCCTCTGTCCCTCCATTCATTCCATCGATGTTTTGTAGTATCCAAGCAATGCCATGGTTGGAAGTGACCGCTGTGGGACCCTTGGCCTTTCTGGGGTGTTAGTTCCCTAGTGGTGGCTGCCCGAGGGCAACAAGGCGCTCCTGCCAGAGAGGGGAGGATCGCCCCTCTTTAGCTCACAAGTCCCCACGGACACAGCCTGTCCGTGTCACCGTGCGTGTGCACACGTTTTCTCAGAGCCTTCCTCCAGGCCTCAGCCCCACAGCACCTGCCCTGCTCTTGCTCCCACCCCAGGACCTGTCCCGTCCTCAGTGCTTTTCTGCCTGGAAGGGCCTGGCATGCTGCTGCGGATCCAAGTGTCTGGACCACACAGAGCCTTACCTTGGTGGTGCTGGGAGGTTGAGCTAGATGTCTGGTGGTGATGATGCCTGTGAACTCTAAAGCAGGCCAGAGAGAGACGAGGGAGTGCTGAAGCTCAGACCAGCCCTCAGTTCTGGAAATGCGCGGGGTACTCGGTGGCAGGGATCAGAATCCTCCAGTCTTGGGGCCCCAGAAAGGAGCGGAGGGCGGACGGAGGCAGGTGTCTTCCCTCCGGGGCCCCGCCCCGACGGTACTGATGTTCCATTGGTTGGCTTCAGTCACGTGGCCATTCCTGGCTGCCGGGGAGGTGGGCACGGACGGCGTTCTCTGCTTGGGTTCTCCGATTTAGCAAATACAGATCCAGGACCAATGAACACTTTTCAGTATAAAAAGTACAAGTACTTCTAGTATAAGTACTCGTTAGTATTAAGTATGTTCCATGCAGTATTTAGGACATATTTATATTAAAAGTTATTCGTTTACCTAAAATTTAAATTTAACTGGGCACCCTGTTTGTTGTGGGCAGCCGCGAGCCCCAGCACAAATTGGGGTTTCTATTACCATGAAAGATAGGGACGGCCAAAGATAGGGACGGTCTGAGAAAGCCTCTCATAGGAGTACTCTTTGGGAGGAAGTAGGAGCACAAGCTTCCCAGACAGGGCCTGGAGTCGGGGTGGAGGAGCCAGTCTTGAGGTGTGCCCTAGACCCCTGAGCAGGGGGAAGCAAGTGGACAGATATGTGTGGAAAAGGGGACAGAGAGAGATAGTTAGGAACACAAGGGCTGGCTGAGACCCTTGTGGCCTGGGTGTGAACAGAGCAGAGGTGAGCACTAAGAGGGCAGAGATGAGGGGTCCCCAGAGGAGAGGGGGCAGCCGAGAGGCATGAAGACAGCTGAGACAGGTGAGGGCTTTGGTTAGAAAGGAGGGCTCATCATGTCACATGCTGCTGAGATCAAGAAGGGCCAAGCCTGGACCACTAGATTTGGCAGCACTGGTCTTTGTTGACCTTGATAAGAACAGGGTTAATTGTGGGTGGGGAAGGCCTGAATGGAGGTTTCATGGGAGGAGGAGAGGTGGACAGAGTCAGCACAGACAGTTCTTGCAAGGAGTTTAGCCTTGCATGTGGTCAAGGCTGACAACATTCAGGCTCTATCCTAGAGCCATGATACCGCTTTCCTGCTCATCTGTAGGCAGATTCAATCAAGAGCATCTGCCACAACTATATATGTAAATATGATTCTAGGCTAAGCAGTGAATTGGGAATACATTATCTTTAGGACAGCTTTAGTTTTTTCTGGACTTGATGTTTGCCTTAATGTTCCCACACTGTCTGCTTTTATCACATCCTTAACTTCAAGTCACCTCTATGCCCCCTGCCAGGCTCTGGCCCTCCTGCTCCCAGCCAGCTGGGTACTCCTACTGCCCATTGCCTACCTTTCACTCTTCTGGTTTGAAGTCACTGTTTCCTAGACGTCTTGTCATCCCCTCCATGTTGCATGTCTTCAAGTATCTTCCTAGAAAACTGTGGTAAGTAAACTTTCTGAGCTGGCCTGTCTGAAAATACCTTTGCTGGCATGTTCAATTCATAGCCCCTCCTACCTCCGGGCCTTTGCACAGGCTGTTGTCTCTCCGTGGAGTTATGCACTTGGCCTCCTCCATGACCCGCCTCACTCTTTAGTTCCTTATCCTACCTTGCTTTTTTGTTTGTTTGTTTGTCCCCAAGGGATACTAGAGCTTTGATCTCTTTTATTTATTTCTGGCCCCTCCCCTGCTGGATTGGAAAGCCTCAGGAGGACTGGGCTTTGTTCTTTTCAGGGCCCGATAGAGGGTGGGCACTCACTGAGCCTGTGTAGAAGGGAGGGACGGCTGCTGGGTCATGGACTCTGGGTGAGGAGGTTGAGCAGTTTGGGTGCCTGTCAGGAACTTTTCCCTCCCACCCCCAGGACACTCTCAGGACTGAAGGTTCACTCAAAGTGCTGGACAGGCTTTAATCAGAAATCTCGGTCCCTTAGCTGGGGGAAATAATAATAATCATTATTATATTATGGTTGTTCCCTTCTCTTTTCTCTTTGGGCAGCTACTGTCAGTTGCACACTGGGCCTCCCATCTGGTCTGTTTTTCTTTTGTCTTCCCATCCCCTGGTCTTTTGGTTCACTTCTCTGGAGACCCCTTGGACTTCCTCCAGTGCTCCCACTCACCTCTGTCGCTTCCCAGGCCCCCCTGTACCTCTGACCACTGGTGAAGTTTGGGTCTCAGCCAGGTCCCCCCCCACCCCGCAGGGACAGGCTGGCCCTCAGGGTGTCCTTGGAGGAGACCCAGTGGGTCTGCCCCAGGATGGGCCCGAGGGTCCCTTCTTCACTTGGGGTGAGGGGTTTTCTGCTAATGCACCGTCCTGTGTTTGGCGCCCCCTCCTAGCACGGAGCAGGGGAAGCCCAGGGCACCCACCCTACTCTACCTTTGGAGTCTGGGAAGGGTCCTGTCCTGCATGCCTGCCCCCCTTTTGTGGGCCGGGGTCTAGCTTTGACCATGATACCCGGACTGCAGGGGTGCAGGGTGGAATTGCAGGTGGTTGGGGCTGCCCAGGCGATTGGGGTGTGGGTGCAGAGGGGACTCCGAGCAGCAGAAACCAGAGGAGTGCATGGGAGAACGGACCCAGAGAACGGACCCACCCAGCCTCAATTTTATTGTCTGTGAAATGGGTTCTTGATGCAGGCAGAAGGCGCAGGGTGGGGGGGGGGTGTCTTCATGTCACCGGGGAGGGAACAGGCTCAGTGGCAGGCCTGGGACCCTGCTGCCTGGGCAGACCTCCCTTCCCTTTAAGGCCACCCCCACTCCGAGCGCTAAAGCCCAGGCCCTGAGGTCTCCAACATCTTCCAGGTGGCTGTCCCTGGTGTCCAGCTCTGTCCCTTCCAAGCGGAGTCTGGCTATATCCTCCCCACCTCCTCCTGGCGCTCTCCAGGGCCCTCTAGACCAGGATGCTGCAGTGCTAGTCTAGCCAAGCTATCTTGGGAGGCAGGGGGTTCAAGACTTGGGGCTGAAGGTGAGGTCCAGGCCACCTGGAGGAAGGGACCTCTGCAGATGCAGGGCCCACCAAAGTCAGGCTGAGTGGAAATGCAGGTCCTTCCCTGTGGGCTTGACTGTTGGGGGCCAGAGGAGGGTGGGTGGGTCGGGTAGTAGCCAGCAGAGGCTGTGGCCCTCTAAGGGCTGGGCCACTCTGCACGGAGGAGCCTCTTTGCACCAAGTCTGGGGTCAGAGGTCCCTGGATCCTCCACCTGGTCCTCCCTTCTGGCCCCCATCACAGAACAACAGAATGTTTCCCAAATCCCTGATCTGGTGCTCAAGGCCCACATCCAAAGCCCTATCTCCCCTTCCTCTGAAGCCCCTTGACTCCTCCAGGCACATGAGCCACCCCTCCCCATTCCTTGTTTTTCCTGCCTGGATCCCCTGCTTGCTGTTGGCTTTGCCAGGACACGTCTGCCCTCCACCTGGTCAACCTCAGGACACCCTGCAGCCTGGTCCACTGTGGCTGGTCGGGCTCTCGGCAGCGTTCAGACAGCACATGGAGTGATTTCTGAATGACCTGTGTGCTCCTTTGAGATTCTCTACGGTTTCACTTTCCTCTCTTGGAAGATGACAGCCAGGCCCCAGATAAACCCTGGCATCTGGGAAATAGAGTGTGGGGTGACTTCCCAATTTGGCTGCCCCCTCCCACCAAGGTCCTTGCACTGGCGATCCTGGCTGTGGACCAGTTCAACTCCTGGGTCCGGAGTCCTCCCTACTCTACTCGGGTCCCTTGGCGGGACACTGGCGAGGGGTCGTCCCCTTCCTAGCCTCTAGGTGATGGTAGCCGCAGGCTGAGGGTCCTTAGGCCTGGTCCCCTAGGTCTCGACTCCAACCATGCGGGTGTGGTGAACTCAGCTCCAGGCTGCCCTGCGGGGCCACGGCGGGAAATGCGGCGCGATGCGGGGCGACGCGGGGAAGGGGTGCATAGCTGCAGGGGGCTGGGTTCATAAACCCAGGGTTTATGGGTGTTAGGGGAGGGATCTGGGATTACCTGTCCCCCACCCTCACCCTCACACCCCGCACCCGGCCCTCAGCGTCGACAAGCAGATAGGGCTCGCAGGACCGGCAAGGATCGGCAAGAGCACCCCCCCCCCCGCACCTGCACCGAGATCGTGGAGCGCATGCGCGGGCCGAGGAGGGCGGGGGGCCGGGCCGGGAGGGGTCCGACCAGCCCAGCGCCCCCAGTGCCCGCTGCGGGAATTCGGTGTCGGAGCGGAGGGTTGCTGTGCTGCGCCCGGACGCGGGGGGCTGCAGGCGATCTGGGCATTAGATCCCGCTCCGACCGCGTACCCGCGCGTCCAGCCCGTGTGGCCCCGGGCGCAGGTTCCCAGGGGCGCCAGGCCGGGGAAGCCGCGGCGCCCCTCCCCGGGGCCCCGGCCGGGCGTCGCATTCAGACAAAGGGGCGGGAGATGGAGATGGAGATGGTTCGGTGACTGCGTCCGGCGGCCGAAGAGGAGGAGGACGCGGCGCCGCGGGCTCCAGCGGCCCGGCCCCAGGACCGGGCGCTCCCAGGCCCGCGTTGAGGGGTGGAGGCGCGGGGGCTCAAGGGCCAGGCG